GAGACACGCAGACTCCAAATATACAGCAGCAGCAGGCGTCAGGGTCGGGATCGAACCCACGACCTCCTGCACACCTGGCGAGGTAGTTAACATCTCCTAGCCACCGTGATGATGCTGATGAGAGAGAGACACGTAAACTCCAAATATACAGCAGCAGCAGGCGTCAGGGTCGGGATCGAACCCACGCGTCCTGCATACCTGGCGAGGTAGTTAACATCTCCTAGCCACCGTGATGTTGATGAGAGAGAGACACGTAAACTCCAAATATACAGCAGCAGGCGTCAGGGTCGGGGTCGAACCCACGACCTCCTGCACACCAGGCGAGGTAGTCAACATCTCCTAGCCACCGTGTGTATATCTATATTATTGCATTCATAATAAAGATCTAACCCCAAAACCGTTCTTAGAAATAATATTGGCTGCGAAAGCCTACGCGTTAAACTATATTATTGTACGCGAACAAATCACACGGCGTTCTTTAATTAATTTCAACAAATGTTTTCAAACTGGATGATGCACGAATTATCTTTTGAAACGATCTGTATGGCTGTTTGTTTTTGTTTAAAGACTTCGTGCCGTGTGTCACCTTTGAACAACCATCAACGACGTTTTGCCATCTCACTTCACTCTTGTTCTCGGCTTTCAAGTTGTGTACACAAGCAAAACAACACCCCCCCCCCCTCCCATGCAAGAGACAATAGACTTCAAGACTGGGCATTACGACGATAGGTTAAATATTAAACGACATTGTTGCAATGGCGGCGTTCACAAAGACTAAAAGAACGAACCCCCGAACCTTTGCGCCCCCCCCCCCCCCTAATGAAGATGTCACGTCCAGGGAACGCACACAAAGCTGACTCGCCAACGGCACTTGCCCCGACAGTTTGTTATAAGGCTGTACGGGGGACCTTTACCTTTGTTTGAGTGTGTGTCGGGGTCTGTGGGGAGCGGTGGTGCAGCGGTTAGCGCGACGCCGCTGCTACGAACCCGGCGACCCGAGTTCGATTCCCGCTCACGGCCAACACCACCTGGTGACGATTATCTGAATCGGGTCTCCCATAGGTCGGCTCAGCCTCAAATGGGTACGTGCTGCGGTGTGTAAACATCGCTACTTGGGGAGACAAAGGCGGCCGGGCGTGGTGCTGGCCAGTTGTGTGTGTACACTACCACCACGCGCGCGCCGTCTCGATGCGCGTGTGGACTTTGCTGTGTGTACTGTGTGTGTGTACTGTGTGCCGTGTGTACTGTGTGTGTGTACTGTGTGTGTGCTGTGTGTGTGTGTGCCGTGTGTACTGTGTGTGTGTACTGTGTGTGTGCTGTGTGTGTGTGCCGTGTGTACTGTGTGTGTGTACTGTGTGTGTGTGTGTACTGTTTGTGTGCCGTGTGTACTGTGTGTACTGTGTGTGTCCTGTGTGTGTGTACTGTGTGTACTGTGTGTGTCTTGTGTGTGTGTACTGTGTGTACTGTGTGTGTGTACTGTGTGTGTGTACTGTGTGTACTGTGTGTGTGTACTGTGTGTGTACTGTGTGTACACTGTGTGTACTGTGTGTGTGTACTGTGTGTGTGTGTGTACTGTGTGTGTGCCGTGTGTACTGTGTGTACTGTGTGTGTCCTGTGTGTGTGTACTGTGTGTACTGTGTGTGTACTGTGTGTGTGTACTGTGTGTGTCCTGTGTGTGTGTACTGTGTGTGTGTACTGTGTGTACTGTGTGTGTGTACTGTGTGTACTGTGTGTGTGTACTGTGTGTGTACTGTGTGTACACTGTGTGTACTGTGTGTACTGTGTGTGTGTACTGTGTGTGTACTGTGTGTGTACTGTGTATACTGATGATGATGAGAATGACGATGATGATGATGACACGACGGATAGCGCAGCGCGCTAACCGCTGCGCCACCGCTCTGCGTAACCGCAACGACGTCTCGCCCGCGCCGCGAGTCGCTTCGAGAAGTTCTCGGTGTTCATATTGTGTTTGTCGCGGTCGCACCCGACTCTCGGGCCGCATGTCTCACAGCGCTACGCCTCCTCATCAATGACACTGGAAACTTCACCGGACGCCTGCACTGCTCCCCGACTACCGCCGACAAGGACTCGAATATCCGCCGCGCCATCTCCCCCCCCCCACTGGGGGTTGATTTACCACGAAGCTGATCCGTGTGGTCCACCCCTTAACCCGCAGCCACTGCGCAAACCACGGCAGCAGCAGCAGCAGTGGACACGTGGACACGTGGACACGACTACAAACTCCCCTCCTCCTCCTCGTGTGTCGGTGGCGACTGCGGCCATCCAGAGCAGAGGCCGTGGTCGTGCAACGCGTCACGACGCAATGTCCCCCCCCCCGCAATGTCCCCCCCCCCCCATACTCAAATACTGTGGAGGAGGCATCATCACAGCGATGGTGGTGATGATACACTACTACTACACCACAACTACTACACTCCTACTACACTACTACTAATGATGCCCCCCCCCATACACAAATACTGTAGCGCCGCGAGGGGGGGGGAGTTGGGGGGGGGGTGGAGGCGCTAACCACTGCACCACCGCTCATTGTGACGAAGCGCCTGACTGAACTGCTGATGAGAAGGCTGCAAGTCGAAACCGGCGCAGTGTTTGACTTTGCGTTTCAAACCAAATTCTGCTGCTGCTGCTGAGAATTCCAGATGCACTCACTCCCGTGCATTGCCGAGTTAACGAATTAAAATGTTTTATTTTGCGTACATTGAGAGGACAAATGTGGACATGAAGGAGGGGTTAGTCAATTGCTTGTTAAGATTTACGTTGCAACGGCGTTGTCCACGTGCGTGCGCTGAACATACTCTTTGGTTCTAGATTTGAAGCTTTCGTGACTGCAAGGATTCATATTCTTAGGTTTTTTCGGTAAAGTCACGTAGGTAAAAAATTAAAATTAATAAAAGTTAAATAAAAATATAAAATAAAAATCACGGCGTTCCGAAACGTCGTGATTTTTTTTTTACTTTTATTAATTTTATTTTTTTACCTACGTGACTTTACCGAAAAAAGACTAAGAATAGGAGCACAGTCTATTCTCATTAAAAAAAAATCCGGATTTTTTTTTCGTTCACCTAGCCTGGCACGTATTATTGGGTGATGCCGCTGCTGCTGTGCGAGTGGGAGAGAGAGGAGAGAGAGAGCGAACCGCTCGCTGAGAATTAGAAAGTCAATTTGGAGCGGTGGTGGTGCATGGATGTGTGGGGTGGTGATGTTGGGGGGGGGGGGGTCGATGAGAGGCGGGGGGGGGGGGGCAGGGCACGAGGCGTGTTTGTAGCAAGGAGTTATGTTTAGGGTTAGGGGGGGATATCATTAGGGTTTAGGATTAGAGGGACTGTGTGTGTGTGTGTGTACGCTTATATGGATCTGGGTGGGAATTAGCTTTGGTCAGGTCTGCGGTGAGCGTGAAGCATCATCGTGAGAGCGGAGATTAGAGTTATTGCGGGGAAGTGCGGGGTTGGATTTTCAGCTTTTGGCGAGATGGTAGGGTGAAGGTTTAATATTACAAAATTGGAGTTGATGATGGTCACGCGGCTTGGGAATAGCGTTTGGGATTCCGGGGGGGGGGTGTGTTATAGAGTTAAGAATTATGATACGGGCTGTAGGATTATGGTGGCGATCGCAAATGACGTGTTGACTACCGTCATACCAGCCGTGCCATCCAGCACGTGGTGTGCTGCCCCCGACAAAAGACATTGCAGACACCACATCGTCATCATCGTGCCGTCAAACCCACAATGGTCTCTATTGTGAATCTCAGACCTACGTCTTATCGGCGTCGCAGTGACGAAATGTTGACTACCTCGCCTGGTGTGCAGGAGGTCGTGGGTTAGATCCCGACCCTGACGACGCCTGCTGCTGTATATTTGGAGTTTGCATGTCTCTCTCTCATCATCATCACGGTGGCTAGGAGATGTTGACTACCTCGCCTGGGATGCAAGAGGTCGTGGGTTAGATCCCGACCCTGACGACTGCCTGCTGCTGTATATTTGGAGTTTGCGTGTCTCTCTCTCTCCCGCTGTGGTTGCGTGGATTTTTCTCCGGGGTCCACCGGTTTCTTTCCCTCCCACATTTAGAATCGACATCGCCACGCGACTAGAGTCATATGGCTGCTGCTATGAATCCCAACGCGACACGATGAGAAGCCGCTTCGTTGAGCTATCAGAGGGAATCCTCTACTTACGAACGAGCTAGGTTCCAGAGGTCTGTGTTCGTAAGTCGATTTGTTCGTAAGTCCAACTTTACTGCTGTCGATTCCAAACGTGTTGTACGGCGTGTACACTAAACACGGGGAATGGTTGTAAAGTTGTATAATCTCCTGCAGCTGTAGATGCCACTGGCTCTTCACGTTCTGCAGATGTAGATGCCACCACCGCCATCTATGGCGTGGTGGTTGAACTTACGACTCTCGGTCCGAACAGGCGACTGGACATACGGACAGGTTTGTTCGTATCTCTGACAGCTGACAGGACTTAGAAAAACAATAATACGTAAAAAAATATAAAACAGCGACGAAGCAAATAGGAATCAAGACGGCTGACGGGACATTGACCCGGCAGGTGACGCTGCTATAAATGTCCACGTGATGACGACGATGACGATGAGCCGCACTTTGCTGAGCTATCATTCGTGATTGCCAGGTCGCTTCTGACGAAACAAGATCAACGAAGCTCAGTGCGGCCTCGTACTCGGAAAAAGTGAAAACAAATATTAGTTTAACATAAATATAATAACCCCATGTGTCCTGACTTTTGGGCCACACATCAGCCACCACAAATCACCGTGAGATATATTTTTTAAAAGGTTAAAAATAAAATGTGTTTATAGTTCATCCGAATCTCTCGCGTTCTCAAGCCGGTCAAAAAAAATAAAGAAAAATAAAAAAATAAAAAAACACAAAATTTACAAAACCGCTCGCGAGTAAATTCATAAGCGGTGCGTGCCCCCCCCTCCTCCGCCCCCCATTCGACCTCGCCGCTGGGGCCACTCACGTATCCGTGCTTGTCCGACAGATTGTTGGTGAGCTTCAGCTTGTGGAAGGTCACCGCCTTGCCCATCCAGTGTTCGCCGGGCGCCGGCGAGTCCGGGTGGATGTAGAGACGGCGCGGCAACTCGGGGTCGGCCTTGCCCGCCACCATCCAGCGGGAGTTGTGGAACTTGTAGCGGCACTCGTCGGCCGCCACGATGTCCAGCAGCAGGATGTACTTGGCCTTCTTGTCCAGGCCCGACACGCGCACCTTGAAAGCCGGGAACATTCGCCTGCGGAGGGGGCGGCGGTGGCACGGGGGGGAGAGATCAATCGATGAACTACAAATATTAATTTCCTACGCATTTCACAAGTAGTACTAATCACGTACCTGCATTTCCCATAAATATGCTAAATTCCTCTTTATATGCAAATTCTTTTGTCAAGGCGCCCTTCACCCCTTCCAACCCAGCTTAAATAGACGCTTCAAGCGTGGTGGTGTTTCATTCAGACGCTGTCTTCCCGACAGACCTGGTCTTCACCTGAGGACGGCTGCTTGCGTTGTGGCCGAAACGTCGTGAGAATTATTTTATTATGTTTTATTTTTAATTATTGTATTACTTCCCTTCTACGTGACTTTACCGAAAGAACCAAGAAGATACAAATATCAACCACGACTCTGTTTCTATAGAGCGCGCGTCGTGCCGAGGGATGCCATTCAAAGTGCCGTGCAGATTTTAAAAGATAAAAAGACATTTGCCAGAAGACGAAATCGCGAGTGGAATAAAAGGATTGTCCACTCGAAACAAAATTGCGTTCTAATAAATCGCAGTGGCTGGTTCGTGCTGTTACGAATACTGAACGACGTTGACTTACCAACAACACAAATACGTAAATAAATATATAAATACCCCCCCACACCTCTCGCCTCCCCTCCCCTGTCATAGGAACGTGGACGACAAATCCACTGCTGGATGAGGAGCTCTCCACGCTGTGTGGCTCGCAGGATGGGCGTGGAGGGGGTGGGTGGTGAGGAGTCATTAGTCCACCGCGCTGATCAATGCGGTAAACGCGGAGATGCAAATAGGGAGAGGCAGGGAAGATACTCTCTCTGTGTGCTGGGAGAGGGTAGGTAAGGGGGGAGGGGCATTGCCCGAAACGTCGCCTGTTATTATTGTTGTTATTTACTCAATTAAAACTAAACCCTTTATTTTTTATTTTACCAGGTCAGGCCCCTCCGCTGAGCTTCGTAGCTGTGTTTGTTTCAGAAGCGACCTGGCCACAATTGCCAGCTTGACGAGGCGAAGATCTGTACGTGTGCGTGCACTGCCTGTTGAACTTCTTTCGCATCGTACGTAGCCACCCGCGCTGATTGAACGCGCGGGACAGCGGCTCATCATCGTCGTCGTCATCATCATCACCGCCACGTGGGAATTTCTAGCAGCAGCCGAATCCTCTGAACGCGTGGTGATGTTGCTTCGACATGTTGGAAGGGACAAAAACTCGCGCGACCACGGGGAGAGACGCAGACTCCAAATGTACAGCAGCAGGCGTCGGGTCGGGATCGAACCCACGACCTCCTGCACATCAGGCGAGGTAGTTAACATCTCCTAGCCACCGTGATGATGATGAGAGAGAGAGACACGCAGACTCCAAATATACAGCAGCAGGCGTCGGGGTCGGGGTCGGGATCGAACCCACGACCTCGTGCACACCAGGCGAGGTAGTCAACATTTCCTAGCCACCGTGATGACGATGATTAGAGAGAGACACGCGGACTCCAAATATACAGCAGCAGCAGGCGTCGGGGTCGCGGTAGAACCCACGACCTCCTGCACACCAGGCGAGGCATCTTTCCGCATGCGCAGTTTTGTGGTGGAGTCATTTATCCTCTTCCATCTATGCTGGACATATCCACAACTAAGAATTATAAATGAATGTTAACTGGTGTCCACATGATTGCTATCCGAGCTACGTCGAGTCATCACGCAACGTTGGGTCGATCATTCTCCCTGAGTAGACACTTAGAGAGAGACAGAGAGACAGACACAGAGATAGATGTTGTGAGAGGCAGGAAAAGGAGGAGGAGGAAACGTGAATGATTCATGCGATTGGAAGTTAAACTGCGCACGGGATGTAAATCTCTCAGCCGCCAGAGCGTGCAGTGAGTGGCAGCAACAGCCTCGATCTGGATCTAACCCGGTGTTTGATCAAAGTCACACGCTAATAATACTAAAATACAAGCACACGGGTATTAATAAATCATTAACAATATACTATAATATACAGTACATAGTAGATATACAGTATACAGACAGTATGTAGACACACAATGCAGTAATATCCCGATTTACGTTTCCGTTGTACGTCGTTTCGCAGATACGTCGTCACGTGATCATGAACACCACCACCGCGACTCCTCGATCTGCCGTCGCCTCCAACCCGCACACTCGCGTCGCTGGCAGCATCGTGCGTCATGTCTCGTTATCCGTCGCCTCTCACTCTCCACCAACAGCTCCACCACAACCACCACCTCCACCACCACCTCTACCACCACCTCTACCTCCACCACCACCTCCACTACCACCGCTACCTCCACCACCACCTCCACCACCACCACCTCCACCACCAACACCAGCACCTCCACCACCAACACCAGCACCTCCACCACCACCTCCAACACCACCACCTCCACCACCACCTCTACCACCTCCACCACCACCTCCACCACCACCTCCACCACCACCACCACCCCCACCACCTCCACCACCACCACCACCACCTCCACCACCACCACCTCCACCACCACCACCTCCACCACCACCTCCACCACCACCACCACCCCCACCACCTCCACCACCACCACCACCTCCACCACCACCACCACCACCACCCCCACCACCTCCACCACCACCACCCCCACCACCTCCACCACCACCACCTCCAAATTAATAAAAGTAAAATAAAAATAAAATAAAAATCACGACGTTTCAGAGGCTTGTGTTGCCTCCGAAACGTCGTGATTTTTATTTTATTTTTATTTTACTTTCATTAATTTTATTTTTTTACCTACGTGACTTTACCGAAAAAACCTAAGAATATTAATCTAAACGCACACAGCAGCGTAAGAACAGGCCTCTCTATTCACGTGCTATGACGAAGGACCATCACCTGAAACGTCGCCTATTTTATATCTTTAAAGACACGGCGGTGGTGTTGTTGTTGACGACACTGAGCGTGTTGGGTTGTTGTTGTTGTTGTTGTTTGTGCGCCACTTCCAACGCAACAACAACAACAGCGTAACGCGACGTCTCGCATTTGGACACCCATTTTTATGTGTGTATATATACACACTAAGGCAAAGATCCCCCGTATAGCCTCAACAGACTGACGGGGCAAGTGCTGTTGGCGAGTAGCAGCACCTATAGCACACACGAGGGATTTGGTGGCCAGCATCACGCCCGGCCGCCTTTGTCTCCCCAGTGGCGATGATTGCACGGAATTCATTTGACGCTACCACTCCCCACATATGTAAAATATATACACACAAATACAAAGATCCCCTGTATAGCCTCAACAGACTGTTGGGGCAAGTGCTGTTCGCGAGCACTTATGAAGGCCGGCACGGCACACGAGGGGGTGGGTGGCCAGCACCACGCCCGGCCGCCTTTGTCTCCCCAGTGGCGATATTTTTACGCACCGCACCAGCTACTCATTTGAGACTGAGTCGACCTAGGAGAGGCCCAGGACCGGTTCAGATAATCGTCACCGGCCTTTTTGGTGGCCGTGAGCGGGAATCGAACTCGGGTCGCCAGGTTCGTAGCGCAGCGTAGCGCTAACCGCTGCACCACCGCTCCAAAGACCAAGACCAACGCTACCCCCGTGTAGCCTTGAACACAATCACGTCACATCGAGAGAGAGAGAGGTTGCATTAAAGTTTGATTCACGCGATTTCTAGACAAGCGGCCGGTCGGGAAACGCGTCCCGTACGCGTCTGTACGCTCCACGCCGAAGTGGCGCTATTTGAATATTTTCTACGAAATGTTCCACAATCCAGATAGTAGATCGATCGACAATGGAGCTGTGTAAAATTTGCAATTGCTAAGTACTGTATCAATAACTACATGAGATGTGTGTGTGTGTATATATATACATATCGTCGTGTCTACGTTTGTGAAATAATTCTAATATTAAACAAAAAATCATTAACATCTGAATAAACTATATATATATTACGCATGCGGCAGGAGACATTTTGAGACGGTTAATTGCCGAGTAATTATAGTAAATCATAGTAAAACCGGTGGGCTAAAGACGTCAATTAATTTGTCCTTTGAAAACGTGACACATTTTTTACTGTTTGGCCGTGTCGGTTGGTGGAGGGTTACGACACATTTATAAATAACGCGATCTGACCCAGAAACCTATATTATGCACAGTAAATGATAGTAAATTATAGTAAATCGTAGTAAATCGTAGTAAAATTAGCTAACGGGCAACTCGGAGTCTTGAGCAGACGAAATCCCGCACGCTGCATCACGCGTGCGGTGAGTGACCCATCGTGAACGTTGACTGACGTCAAACACGAACTTTGCACAACTCGATTTAAAGCTTTCGTGACTGCAGGGATTCATCTTCTTGGTTCTTTCGGTAAAGTCACGTAGAAGGGAAGTAATAAAATAATACAAATAAAACATAATAAAATAATTAAATTTGGATTTAAAGCTTTCGTGACTGCAGGGATTCATCTTCTTGGTTCTTTCGGTAAAGTCACGTAGAAGGGAAGTAATAAAATAATAAAAATAAAACATAATAAAATAATTAAATTTAGATTTAAAGCTTTCGTGACTGCAGGGATTCATCTTCTTGGTTCTTTCGGTAAAGTCACGTAGAAGGGAAGTAATAAAATAATAAAAATAAAACATAATACAATATTTTATTTTTATCATTTTATCACTTCCCTTCTGCGTGACTTTACCGAAAGAACCAAGAAGATTTGCACAACTCATTAGTTATTTCTGTTAAAGTCACCGAAAGCATCACTTAGTGTGGTTTTCTACAGCCACGGAAGCTTCACATCGAGACTGACGATGCACTCCGTCGAGAAGGCCTAAAGGGATCTGACGTTTGGCACAAAGTGGAGTGGACGCTTGTAATTAGTAAGCACTTTTGACGAAACACTAAATGTGCATATTGGTGGCGTGCAACGCGAATCACGCGACCGCTACTCGATGTGAGCCCTCTCACGTGTGTGCATGTACGTTGCATGTATGTTGTATGTTGTATGCATGTTGTATGTTTGTATGTATGTTGTATGTATGTTTTTATA